CATATACATTTTTTTGTTTTTACAGGATCACCCTGTATACGAGATCTAGTTCCGTTAATGTGCAACGAGCGTAGAAAGTTTGTTCTTACAGCCTACTGGATGGATCTGATGAGACGGAAAAAAATCTAGAGAGTCACAGACACAGGCGACCTGACGTATCAGAGAAATCTAAATCAGATTCGAAGAGGCTCCGTGTAAATGCGTTTTCAGCAAGTGCACAGAAGTTAACCCGATCTAAGAACTGAGGACAGCTCATGCTGCTATTAATCAGTGTGAAAACAAAAAGTAGGTCAGATGTGGTTTTGCGTATTTCCAGTGTCTTCGAGCTGAAGAATTGCATAACAGCCTTACATTATAATTGTGACACGTTGTTTTATGGGAAAAACCAATGTTGAGCGAAAATTATTGATACGAGGTTCGACTAGCTTTCCTTTTCTACCTAATCAACGTTTCTGATATTTTTCAAATTTACGAAAAATGCATCTACGGACAGTGTGTTAAGGATAAAAAAAGAAACGAAGCGAAAAATTTTAAGAGTAATTACTTCAGAGTAATTGGTGAAAAACAATGCTTGCAATTAATGTATCGAGGAAATAAACGACATACAGAGTGGTCCACCTAATTTTTTTTCAGCTATTATGATAGGAGAAAATTTTTGTACATAATTTAAATGGTTTGAAAAGGTGAACAAGATTTAAGACAATTTGTTTAAAAATGCTATTTTTCTTTTTTTCAAGGTCACGTTTTCTACTGTATACTGTAATAGATATTGTTGCGCATAATAATACGACCTAAAACTGATCTTTCATTCTCAAATTTTACCTGAAATGTGAAACTTCCTCTCATTTTTTGCCATTTTTTCCATCAAACAAATTTTTCTTCCATCTTATTCACCCTTAGAAATCATTTAGATTGCGTATAAAAATTTTCTCGTACCACCATAGCTGAAGAAGTTGATTAAACGGCCCGTTTTACCTAACCCACCATGTACAATAATATATTAAGGAATAAATGTACGATATGTTCCACAGAAAAGACCTTTTTTTCTATGCTTAAAAATAATAATATACCTCGAGCAGGATTATGAGAATTGAGAAAGAACCGCGTATAAATTAAAATTGATACAAATATATAAGTATATATTAATGTAATCAACGACCGGAAGCCTGTCGGTATGTTTTTTCTATCGGCGGGCTATGAAACGACTTTTTGCTTCTAGTTCTTATCAGTTGGTGATAGATTATAAATCATGTAAGAAAATACTGTCGTCATCGTGAATAAAATTGAAACGCGGCGCAATAGAACTCTTTCCAATATTTATTTCAATGTTCTAGAGCTCTACGGATAAACGACTTTATCGTGACCGGTCGATAAAGTATTAATAAAAAGATTATTATAGTAAAGATTACCTAAACTCTTCTATCTATCTGTCTATGTACACTATACCCCAACAACGCTATTAACCTATAGCTTTGTCACAACTTACGTGTAATCATAGAAAAATTGAAATCAATTCAATGACGTGCAGATTATTGTAATTTATACGATAAATATTTCTTATCTTAGAAGGGTAAAACAGTTCTTCGATTTCTACAAATCGAATTTTTGAAATCGAACAATCGAATTTTTACAATCGGACAATCGATTTTTACACGTTCCAAAAGCTTGATATTTTCAAACCTTACGTAGAACATTAAAATGTATAAAATATAGAATATCAATGAACATTTTAATATAGGATATATGAATAAATTCTAAATATTTTAATACAGAATAATATTTAATTTAATTATTAAAATAATAATTTTATCCTGAAACACTCGATATTTTACATCCCACATTTTATTCATTTTAATATTCTACGTTAAAGAAAAAAGAAAAAGATTTAGAAGCATCATCATATTTTCTAAATTTTCTAACAACACGAATGGATTAATTGAATCAGCCTCGATCGATCGAGGTTCAACACGAATTTTCACCTGGAGAGAATGTACACTTGCGGCACGATACTTTTTCTCAATTTCTCTTGACAAAACGATAAAAACGATCTGAACGTTTCTCATGAAAGCTCCGCTTTGAGTAACTGAAAACGAGACTAGACATATCGGTCAGGAGATGGATCGGTCACTTGCTTAGAAACGAGGCATTGATTCCAGCAGCAATAGCACCAGGAGAAAGGAGAAAGTTACGGAATAGTCGATTGAAGTTGCCCCTGGGGAGATATGCACAGGCCACGTGTCTTATTGCACTCGTTCAAAGAGCATGATACAAATTCGAACGACGTTATTAACTTCCTACATTGGATAGAAGGTTCGACTGCCTTTCAATGTCTTCGAGTTTTCGTGTTAGGGCTTCGATTAACCCTTTTCTAACCGAATTACATCTTTCAAGAATTTCTTATTTATCTAACGAGTATCATGTCTCTTAATTGGATACTGGATTGTGATCAATTTTTGTTCGAGTACTCAGGTGAGATCAAAGGGTTAATTGAATTGTCTATCGTTGAAAGGATACATATCCAGCTTTCTGATTTAACACTTAACTACAGACATCTATCTTTGAGACATTACCATAGACCTACAGTCTCTCAGACTAGTTTGGCAATTTTATTTACTAAATCACTGTGTTGTAAAAATAAATCTAATATAACTGTTTTACTTAATGATACATATGGGTTTGTTATAGTTTTTCTACAATATTTTATAAAAACTGTGTATTTAAAATTATATATAAAAAATTGGAACCTTTCTATTTTATTGAAACATTATGCCACTAGTTGCCAATTGAAGCTACTCAAATTCTAAATCTTCCAAAATTCTCTACAGATATGTATATAGTTGGGGTAGTGAAATACAAATTGTATTGAAATTATATGTATTTGAAACTAATAGAATTAAATAGGAAATTTAAGATACGTGTAATGAGTTTGAAACATTTTTGATAATTGGAAGTACGTTTCAAAGGTTAAATGTAAGATTTTTCTTTCATCAATTAGTTACAGTTAATGAAGTTTTTGTGTGAATTGAAATCAATTCAAGATAGAGACAATATATCAGTAGTTTGAATTTGATACTTTTCTTTGTAGAAAGTACTAGAACTTCCTGTTACATGAAGAAGATACTTGGCTCTATTTAGTGTTGCTCATTCTGTGCAATTAATTTCATCAACCTAGTTGTGATGTATATTTAGTATGAAGAGATTTAATGCAAGCGCAAATGGATGCAATTGGTGAAACAAATTGTGAAATGTGCTACAAATAGTACTTTCCATTCTTCTTTCTAAATTATTTACTATTAATATCTTTCAATATATGAAAATGGAATTATTTCCAAATCTTCCACAATAAGAATGGTTCTAATTATAGCTTAAACATATTTGAAATGTTTGCAGGAATTGTTTGTAAATATTGAATTTGCAAAGTGTGTCAATTTAGAATGAGAAATAGGACAATCCTTGAAAATAGAAGAGTCAATTCTAATATTTGAGCAATATTTAACTCTAGCACTCGAAGAACCGAGTAAACACTGAAGATGTAACAAAATCTCGAATTATCCACTAAGGAGGTCAAGAAGAGCGAGAAAGCTTAGGAAAATTATTCAGAGGAAAATCTCGCTAATAATTTTCTATACCTAGCGTATTAGATAAAAATATTCCATTTCAAAATGAAAATGAAATTTTTGAAAATTTCATTCTTAATTTTACCAACATGATTTTCTTTTTTTTTTTAATTTTTTTACTAAGTTCGAAAAGACTTTTTCGTATTCGTTCAATGATCGGCAAATTTTTATTTTGGTTTTGCACTGAAATTTTACGAAAAGACGGACAAATAACTGAATTAAAGCTATTTCTTTTTTTTTTTGTAGCATGAATTATAACAGTAAATTCTTTTGATAATAAATGTTACAAATTTACCTCAATAGCAGAGATTTTTAAGCAATTCGTTGCAAACACTATCACGTCCTTCCTTATCTTACTATTATTTGAATAACATCACTTGTGTCACTATTCCGTACGAAACATTATAAACTCTAAAAAATGATCGATGATCTTACACTTCCAAATAAAAGTGATATCTTATTCAGATATTTCAAACGGAAGAGACATTAACGTATTACCGTACATTACAATGATAATAAGAGAAAGAAGGAGGAACAAACAAAAAGGAAGAGTTACAAGAAGATGAAGAAAATAAGAAGCTGAAATAGTCGAAGACGATAAGAAGTAGATAAAGAAAAAATGACAGAAGGAAATTATATAGAGCGTAAAGGAAATGAAAAAGCGACTGTTTAAGGACCAGGCAAAATAAAGTATGACTAAAGAAAGAGCGATAAGGGAAGAGTTTTAATAATGTTTCAGTTAAAAAATTGAAAAAATTGAGAAAATTAAAAAATAAAAAGTTAGGAAAAATTAAGCTTGGAGGATCCAATCAATCTAAAATTCCAATCATTCTCAAAAGAATGAGTAATAAGGGAAGAGTATTAATATTTTAATTGAAAAATTGAAATATTCAAAAGATTCAAAAATTAGGCTCAGAGGTTCTGCCACATCTACCTTATATAGTTCAGATCTCTCCCTATCGGATTTTTTCTTATTTTACTCCCCGTCTTTTAAATGAAATTTTACAGTAACAAAGAAGTGAAGACCAACGTGGAAAACTGGCCCAAACAACAAGAAAAAGAATTCTTCGCTACTGACATAAAAAAGCTAGCAGAGCAACGGGACAAGTGCATTATTGTAGACAGAGAATTATATCGAAAAAATAGTAAAATTCTCAAGATCCATCGAATAAATCGTACTAAAACAAAAACCGTTTGTTGTCTCTTTACTTATTCAACGAGCCTCGTATTTTAACGTTGAATTTCGAAGAAAATCCAAGTTATTTCCACGAGCGATATTACTGGGACCCTGGGGAATCCCAGATGTCTGATGCGTTTCCACCACCAATCGACTCAGCAGAGCCGAATTTCTGTTATTCGAATAAATCGACGTGTACTACTTACCCAGATGCAGATTGGCTCGTCGAGCATGTATTTGAGCACTTCCTTCAGATGTATCACGAAATTCGGCGGATCTACATCGATGCCGCTGGTTGACTCATTCTCAGGCTCCACATATGTGTGGTTGCTCTTCCATGCCGGGTCCTTGATGATTTGTACGGCATAGTACACGGAACAGGATAACACAGCGAAGCTGATCGCCGTGTATACCCGTAGATTAGGAATTGGAAGTCGGTCCAATAATTCTATCGGCATTTTCGTGGCTCTTAGTCGGTTTCTTGATTCCTGCGGACACATTATGCACCATTCTATCACTGTCAAGTAGAATTTCTTCGTTTCGAATCAATCCTCCCGTATTATAGTCGATAACGTAGTTTCGCAAGAAACTTTCGCCAGGGACTGACTAACTTTTATAACCTTAACCGTCTATAATCTGGTTTTCCTTCGTTTACGAGAACAAAAATTTAGGGTTGTTTATAATTTTACGTTCCGATGGAAGAAGTAAGGATTAATAATTATTATAAAGAAATTTACTGATAATGATGTAATACTACGGCAATATGACGCAATGGTACAGCAATAAGGAAATAAAACGACACGTGGTTCTAAATCACGTGGTGCGTTATAGAGAGTTAATATAAAGAAGTTATAGTGTAAGAATTATTTGCTTGATTTTAGTGTTTAGTGGTTAGAAATAATTAATATAAATTATTTTTGAAATTTTTTTTTCGTTATCGATGAACATTTTATTGGCAAACAAGTATGTAATGATTATCGATAAAACAGAGGGTTTAAAAAGTAATATTTTTCAATCGTGTTAAATTCTGAAAGTTCTCCAAACATTTTGATTATTATCTATCTTGAACTTGAGCAACAATTCTTGGTCTGAATAAAAATTTTTTTTAAACAATTGTTATTCTTCGATTTAAAATTTAATCGGACTGCTGTGGAAACGGAATCGTTGAAAATTTTAATCTTGGTAAATTAACTTAGGCGTATTTCTTTTTTTTTACCATTGTTGAGTTGGTATTAAACGGAAACGAAAGGTTTTTTGGTGGATATTTTATAAAGCAAAATTCATGTTATCTCGTATAAAAGTTTCCATTCTAAAACAATTCCATTCTCAAGAAAAAACGGTTTAAACTTTCAAGGAAACGTTTTATAATTTTCTAAATATATTCCGTAATTTTCGTAATATCTTAAAAATACACAATTCATTTAATAAACAGAAATTTTATGGTAACACGGACAAATGACTCGACGAAAAGTACTTCTTCCGTGATACGAACTGAAACAATAATGTAACGTGCAGATTTTCACTGTATTGACACTTGCACCGTAAGTGGAAGCCTTTCTATTGCCTGACTTGAGTAAAAAAAAACAAAAACAAAAGAAGTTCACTCTCAAATAGATAAACTAATCTAATGACATTGTAGATAATTTTTAAAACATTGACTTTTTACAAAGTAACGGTCGTTGCAAGTTCAATTTATCTTTTTTTTAAAAATGTAATTCGATAAAAATTTTGTTTCATCTATGTTCTAATTTTCAGATAAACATATGAAAGACGTAATAAAAATTTCATCCAAATAATACTTAAGATATTAAATAACGAATTTAATTTTTATTCCGTTTATTACTTCAGCTGTAGATATCACTCGAGAACATTTCCAATAGGTTTTTTCCACTTATCAATACATAAGTGTGTTCTATAGAAAGTTTACGTGTCACTAACGGAATATCCCGACGAATAAATCGTGAATCACTATTAGTTTCACGAGGACATACAGGTTTAGTGAAACTTTATAAAACTATTTGTCCCATAGTTAGTATTTTCTTTGAAATTTGAATCGTTTGAAAAAACACTTAATAGTAAATAAATAAGAAAACTATTGCTTGACGCAGTTTGCAGTATTTAAGGGAACCCGCAACAGAGCTCTATCGTTCAGAAAGAAAGTTACGTAATGCGTTCAAAAAGTGATCAAGATCATGCTTACGCTAGAAACGCGATAATCGAAGAATACAATTATTTTTTATCTTTCGTTCGTTAATAGAACAATATACACAGGCGTTATATTCATTTTATTTACATAATTAACTAGACATAAATGAATAAATTTCATTTTCGAAACATAAAAAGTGTCCGACGGCGTGTAATAAGTTAATAGTCTTATTAGAGTAGTTTAATTCCCCAGAAATGTTTTCAGTAATACATATGCAGCTCAAACGCGAAGAGATATCAGTTTAATTATAGGAAATCGATAAATTCAAAATTATCGAATTTGGTAAACAGAACGAATTTGGAATTGCTCTAACGTTCTAGTTTATCGATCAATGCCAATTATTGATAGTAAACCATCGGTATTTCATCGTCTAAAACAAACATTTGTAATTGGATATCGGACACGAATCTTATAATTAGTTAACCACGGATCTGATTAAGCGATATGAAGTAATTATAAGAAAAAAGTATGATGTTGACGTGGTTAACAAATTTATAACTAAAAGGTACATTTTTCAAATTTGAACAGCATGTTTTATTTATTTATTTTAAGTAAAATGAGAAAAATTGTTAATAATTCTAAATACAAATTAATAGTACCGCATAATACTACTATGATGTTACTACCATGGTGTAGTATTATGATTAATAATTTAAAGTAACAGTATTATTTGTATAAAATGACTGAATATTGTTGTCTGCCACTTTCAAATAAGCCCATTAAAAGTTCAAATAAACAAGAAAAAAATTACAAAATTTTACAACAAATTTCCAACTATTTTTAAATTAATTAAAAATTACCACTTACCTAACCTTACAACAGAATTTATACTAATTAACGTGTCATTAAAATATACAATTTGGTAAAATTTTTGTAATTAAAAACCGAGAAATTTGTAAATGCGTTGCATTATGTACTACTTGCAATAACTGATTGTTATTTACAAATCATAATTCATCAAGTAATTTGTAACAGTAGGATTTACATTGGCCGTTTATATAATTTAATGACATCGTTAAAAATTACAAATTGTTGGAACGGTTCTAATTGGAGAAAGTAAAATAAGCTATAAATAATCTAGAACCGCGTGAGGTTAAATATGTATGGTTATTAATGCGTTCATTGGCATGGCGGCCATCGGTAACCGACACTTTCCGTTAGCGCCATCAACGGTCACCGGTAACAGACACCAAAATTTCCGTTACACTACTGTAATACCAACCGATCCAATTCATCGCGAGTAAACAACTTCTGAAAACAACGACCACACCGTGCACCACGTGGCTTTAAACCGAGGAAGAAAATCCACGCGATAAAACACTGTTCTGCTTTCACCGGGAATTCAATTATTTTCGTAATCTTTCTAGGAATTCTCAAATTCTAGATATGAGTAATCAAATGTAAGTCAGTATACGTAATTTGTTATTTAAGCGACTCCTTTTCGCTACGGTTTGTTTATCGATTTAAGTGCAACGGTTGGAACACCACGTACGCACACTTCTTTACCGAATTACGTGGCTCGTGTTCGTTTACTTGCACATGTTACTACATATTCATTTCTTCATTATATAATCAGTAACTCGCAAAGAATTACTTACATAAAGTAAGAAACAGTTCTTTCAGAAAGTTGTTATACAAGTGTAAGCTACGTATGCATAAAGAGGTTAAGCGGTTTATGACCACCGGATTCGATGTATATCTTCTAATTTTTCCTTTTATATCCTTTAACTTTTATTCTTCGAGCGAAGAATAATACGCGAATATTGCTATACATGTGAGCGTTTATCAATTTTTGACTTTCGCATTCATTGTGCTCTGATAACAATCAATTGATACGTTTCAAATGCCATCAGGTGTTAATTTAACGCGATCCAATGAAAATTCGAAAAAGTTCCACGTGTACCAACATAAGCAGCGTCAATAGAATATGACAGGCGGGTGAACCTCACGTGGCCAAAGTTAATCTTGCAGATATTCGTCACAAATTTTGAACATTTCCAACAATAAATAGCTCTTAACGCGCATTATCGTACTGTCAGTGATTAAACGTTCGTCAGTTTAATAAGCAGTAAATAAATGCCGTGTTGACATTCCGTGTGTGTACTTTCGTCCGATTAATATAACGATATCTTCATACACATTATTGCATTATTGCATTATGGACATTACGATTTGTATTTTATTTCATATTTTACCATATCAGAAACTCTAATGAAGTTTAGTGGCAATATTATTATTAATTATTTACATGTGCATACAAAATAATGAAATTATATCGCCAATGCATTATTTTTTCATCTAAAATTAAAACTTAACGCTGCAAAAATATTGGCTCGAAAGAAAATTTTTTATTGGTTTTCCGTTTTCTTTAAAAATTGTAGAAATAAATGTGTCAACTAATATTTCCTTGAGAGAAAATAGTTTGAAATGTGATATTGTGCATCTAAAATTTTTTCTGTGAAAGTTGTTGAAAATAGTTTTACTTCGTGTAGATTGTTTTTATTTGATAAGTTTGCTATTTGGCGAACAGCAAGTGTTAGTTTAAAAAGAGAAACTACGCTGACCTTGAAATCTCGTGGTCACGAAATTATCAGTGAAATTACAACTGCTACCAATTTTATATTAACTCTTTCACGATATAGCTTTATTACCTTGTCATTCAAAAAATGACATTTTTCTAATCATTCACATCTTACGAAATTTGTGCAGATAAGGAGACATCTGTTTATTTATATAGTAGTCCCTTTGTGTACTTCTGTAGTAGCTACATTAATATTCCGCTCTAAGCATGTTAATAAAGCATTCATTTATTTATTCTATTTATTTATCATACAAATACTTGATTAACCCTTGATTTATTTCATTGTCAAAAAATTAATTTCTCAGAATATACAATTTTTATCTTTCATTTTATAGCTTACATGGTTATGAATATTTCGTTTTTTATTAATCACTACTACAATGTTCAGTAATATAATTTCTTTAACTACATATATAATTTTGTGCAATATTACAGAAATAAGTGTTTATCCTTTCATTGAAAATTCGTGTGCTCAGTGTTTCACGGTTTCGTATATTTCCTAATTCATCCTTTTAATTTACTA